TGCACCTTCGAATTCGCATGTCGGTGAATCCGCGCGAATCCCCAGCGGATCCTCTGAATCTCCTCGAAGGACGAGTCTGCTCTTCCCATGGGGCGCAACCGGTGGCCCACCTGGTCTGCGATGATACTCGCCATTATCAATGTCAATCCATTGTGTCGGGACCGTACGACATTCTTCGTCCATGAGTTTTTGTAGCCTTTCAGGTTACATGGACGCTGCTGCGTTGAACTTTCTCCACTTTCCCCTCATCTAGTCTCGCGAGTCGCGACCCGCTCTGGGCGTCTTCTGACTCTTGATTAGATCTCAGGGTTTTAGCAATACTCAATTTCTTCCGTGACTGGGTCTTAACGACGATGCGCTCATTGGAGAATTCTACACGTGATTCGAATGTTTTGAACGCTATGGATGCTGCCCTGTTCTGCAGTAGCTCCACGCCTGCGCCTGTAGTACCAGACCTATGCCACGACGCCTCGTGGCTCGGGTCCTGGTCTGGTATCGGATCCAGCGAAACATCTCCCGGTGCCCTTTCAGCGTCTGATGCTGATCAAACTGCCGCGATCCTCATGCGCATCACCACGCAGCGACCACGTACTCCGCGAGGCGCACCATCCAGCTGGAGATCTCTGCAAGGCACATCATCCAGAAGAGATCTCTGAAATGGCGTGCGGATCGCTTGGGGTGGCCGTGACGCTTGTTGATCGTCTTGCATCACCTTCAGCCCCGTCGCTCTTATCATCTCCCTGGGCAGTGGGTTGGGATTATTAGGTAGCTGTTCTAACTCGGTATCTCCTGGCACGTCAGGCGAGCCGTCTCCTTGCTGTCCTTCAGGTTCATTGACCTCTGGTCTGTCTCGGCTTTTCTCGTCTACGAACGGTTCTCGCCCGCGAACGGTTGTCGCGACCCGCGTCGCCGTCGCGGCGTCGAGAAAGATATTAGCGCGCAAGAGCTCTCGCCGAAGTGCACGGACGGAGCCTGTCGATCGCGGCGCAAACTGGGGCCCCGTCGGCGATGGCCCGCGCAGTCTTGCCATCGAACCCGACGATTCGAAACCTGTGCCCCACTTGGCTGCGACTTCGTCCGCAGTTGGTCTCTGGCGAAAACACTGCCACATCACCGACCTGATATCCACCTGCTAAAGGCGCGGCCCTTCGGAGTGCAGCACGTGCTGTCTGACTCCCGGCGACGTGCCCGGCAAATGACTTGCCTTATGAAGCGCTGATCGCTGCTTGGCGCGAGAACTCGTCAGACCCGTCCCCGGTCGCGTCAGCCAGCGCACCTAGGTCAAAGGCCTCGCCGTCGTCGAACTGCCTCCCTGGCACGCGGGGTAATCGTCCAAGAACCCATTGAGATGGTGAGAATTACGCATCTCATTTTTTGTGCTGACGACTTCTGCGGATGCTTCCATTGCCTCACCAAGTCCCGTGACCTTCTTGTCGTGAACCACTTTTTTGGATGCGTTCTCCCATTAGCCACCGTGCCTTTTACTGCGCCCGACTTGCTCCGGGGACTCGGCTCCTGCGCCGCGGAGGTCGGTCTCTTTGCTCTGCAGGAAGACACCTCGATTGCGTAGTCCTTGATCCAACACAATTCGTTTGGGCTGACCAGCCCATGCACGCCGATGTTGCTGGAATGCCGTGAGGCGCGTCCATAGGGATAGCGCGCCGCCACCTCGGCGTGCGACTTTGACGCGTTGGAATGTAGCCCCCTGGCAAATAATGCTCAGGATGGCGTGCCTTTCCCCGGTGTTGCCCATGATCTCGGCACAACGGTTGCCAATTTAATGATTGCAGCACAATTTTTGGGGCATGCCGGCCTGTTAAGCAGACGACTTGTGGTGATCACAGGACTCGCACCTGTGGTGCTTTGTTGCTTCGATGCGTTCCCCCGACATTCGCGATCAACTTAAGAGATGAAGCAGTGCACTGTTATGTGCGTGTCCGAACTGTCGATGAAGCCGACGGAGGGCGATCCTCACTCTGAGGGGCTATCCTGCGCTGCTTCCGAGTTCGGCTCCTCGGGAAACGGTGGCTCCTCTCCGCGACGTCCTGCTCTTCATCCCTACGCAGGCCTCGTGGCTCGACGGCGACGCCCGCGTCGACGTCGACTGAATCGAGAAGCGCATTTATTCTCTCCTCGGCAGCTTCGACTGTGAAGGCGGTCGCAGTAAGACCATCTAGCCGTACCTGATGAACGGGATCGCGCAGGAAGTCAAGACACTTCGGCGAGCCGGCGTCGGCGTCTGACTCCAAGTCAAAGTTCAGCGCATTCGTGACGCACAGGCTTGAGCAAGCAGCTTCGTGACCAAGTGCAACGGTGACTGAGCCGTTTTTCTTTGACGTTCTCAACGCAAATACGGACTGCGGATGCTGCTGATTTTATGGCCAGTGGTGTGAGCGATGACGAGATCAGGATTGCACCCGACGGTCTCCATTTCCACGCGTGCGTCCCTGGATGGGCGATTCACCGCATCCCCCGCCGCGCCGCTCGCGCTGGCGGCCCCCGCAAAGGCGAGGCCGATTGTGAAGCGCCGCGCCTTGCCCACGGAGAAATGGCCAGTGAGCGGCATCTCGGCGCCCGTCAAACACTCCGCGATGGTGGGGTCGTTCTTGCCCACGTCCACCGGTCCAGCGCAGCAGTGCTCGCGCGGCTTTGCGCGCGGTCATCGGGCGCTCGTCAAGTTTGAGCGACGCCCGCACATAGCAGTTCCATCGTGATGTATACGAGGTGGCTGGGTGAACACACATCCTGTCATGCTCCTGTTCGTCGCGCCACGAGTCCGCGGGCGCGCGGCCATCGAGCTGCCCCCGCTTCTGCGTTTGTCACGGCCCATAATGCACTTGCGCAACTTGGCCCACGACGTGGGATATTTCATATTCGTGTCATAAAGGTCACCTTTGAAGCTGACAAGTGCCATGTAACGGCTGTCCATATGCGTGGATGCCGAGGTCGCTCCTTGCTCGGATATTGTCGCAGGATCAGCATGCACTACCAAAGGGTTGTTTTATAAAAAACGGATCATATAAAAAAACAGCTTCGAATAGCGTCTCCATCAGCCCATCTCCAACATTGAAGGGTTCGAAGTCCACGACTGGCACTCCGCCCCCGTCGTCGCCCATCGGCAAGCCCCCAATCAGAGATCCAGGGGTAGTAAACGCGCCAGCAGGCGGCGGCGGCGGAGGCGGCATGGGTGCAACGGCCCTGGGTGCGTGAGCTGGTGGCGGCATTGAAAGCTTCCGAGCATGAAGAGATGCTGGCGGCGATGCTGGCGGTGGCCTCGGGGTCAACATGGCGGCCGCGGGTGGGTCGCTCTCCGCCGTGCGCTTCGGAGTCGGAATCATCTGCGCCCGGCCCACTCTCCGCGGCGCGGCTGGGCCCTGCCGCGGCCGAAGGCTCATGGCCCACCGTCGCCCGTTGGAACAGCAGAGGTAATTCCCATAGGTTTCGGCATGGAGCCTGTCTCCATGACAGCGGCTTCTCTAACGATGCGCATGTAGCCCGCTGGAGTGCGACAGTCGCCTGCGCAGATGCGGAAGTAAGACTGCAGCTCTCGGCCTATGTATCTTTCCATGATCTCCTTGAAGTCATCCTCATCATAATACAATGGCCCCTTGCGCGGCTCCCATATGGTGCGAATGCATCCTCTGGCCATTCGCGTCACCATCGTCACATACTTCGTCATGAACTCGGGGGTGGAAGCTGGCGCGTCTGACACTTCGATCGTTTCTTGATCTCCTGGAGGCGGGCCTTGCGCTCGTCCAGGGTCGGCGCCACCTTGGCGCCGCCCATGGGGGGTGCGGGCTGCTGGAGGTGACCTTTTTCCTGCGCCTCTGCCCTTGCCATTTCTTTTTGGCACCTGCGTTGGCTACCAAGTCATCTCCACGTGACTGGATAATTTCAGAAACTTCTTCTTCCGCGTAGCCGTGCTTGACTATTGGCTCCATTTCTCTGGCGCCAAGTTCATCTCCGCGCGGCGCGGGTGTCCATTGGGCGCGGGTGTCGCGATCGCCCCAGGTCTGGTCATCTGTCCAGGTGCCTGTCCACCGGGACGCGTCGTCCCAGCCATTCTGAGGCGTGTAGCCGGACGCGTAATAACCCTAGGGACATAGCTCTCCGGGCCAGTGCTCCTCCTGCTCATGCCAGCTGTCGTCGGCAGCGTGGCATGCCTGCGGCGGCCAAGAGCACCTGGCCTTGCCCCTGCCTTTGCTGTGGTTTCGGGGCGTCCACTGAGTGAAGTTGGAGCTCTTGCCCGGGTCTGCCTGGCCCTTTGGCGAATGTGGATGCGACCGTGCTGGAGGGTCAAGGCAGATGTCCTTGACCTTGTCGAAACTGGTCACAACATCCGTTGATGTCATTGCCATCAAATTCTCCGAAGGTGAGTCCTGCATGGTCCAGAAGAAAACATCCAGGCACGTCGTCGGTCATCAGGAGATTCGTGTCGAGTTGTGAACAAAGTTTCCACTAGCGCTTTCTGCGCGATATGTACGAGACCAACGACTCACCGTTCTGTCGGGGCATTGGTCCGTAGGGCCTCTGCCCTGCTTGGGAGAGGGTCTTGGCTTCATGAGGCTCTATGGGGAAGAGCGGCGTACGGATCGTCTGTATCAGCAGATCGGTGCTCTTTAGTCCAAAGCGTGTCTTCACCGAATTCCGTGGCTATATCGAACGCGCCGCCTCTTGAGGCCCACTATCACCTTACTGACGGCTGCAGTGACAGCGTTTGGCTGTGGCTCTCCCGTTGCAGGATCAACGGGGGCCGAGGCGATGCTCATGCACATTTCTGTGCGGAGTTTCCAGTCACCGAAGTTGTTCACAGCACCGTCATACATGTAATAACCACTCTTCGTCTCTGATCTTGCCAACGAATCCGAATTTGGTCGGTAACGAAAAAAGACAATGGAATGGTGCAAGCAAGTAGAAAGACAGTCTACAGTTCCCTTTGTAAAGGGTCACTGTTCAGGCAAGTACGGTGTAGTAGTCGTAATGAACTCTCTCTGGAGAAACGGGTCCTGCGCATTCGTGCGGTCGCCGAAGACCATCTAGCAGGCTCCGTTGCCAGTGTGATGTATGATGTTTTTGTGCCTTGGCAAAAAGGGGCCCCTTGAGGGTCAATCGGCAACGAGTGGCGCACGTACGTGTCATGCACACACACACACTAGATCACAGCTCTTGTCCGCGAAAAGGCCTCCGATGCCAGTGTGCATGTCTTCCTTTCCGCTAGCACCCATGATGTTGAGCGACAGTTTGTTCGACGCCCGAGCACCGTTGCCCCACGTCCCGAAGTTGTTCACGCCGAGCCTGAAGTCGACGTTGGGGAACAGCGAGCCGAGATGGTGTCCCTGAGCTGCTGGAGGCCAAACGCGGCCTCGAGGACCCCAAACCCTGATCTTGGCGATGCCGCCAATGGGCTCGCCCTTCGTGTCACTCTTGTCGCGGGGCTCGAGGCACACCGAGTACAGAGCCAGATCCCCGATGCCCTCGAACTGGAGGTACTCGTTCCAGTGAGGATTCGCGCCGCCGTCGGTGATGGGCGCGGTTTCCTTCACCTGTTTCTCCTCGCCACAGGCATCGAGGAACCGCACCCGCACGAACGGCTGCCGCTTCTCGTCGTCGCTGCCGCGGCCCCGCGCCTGCACCACCCGGACGACGAGGGCGTGCTGCGCGGCCGCCCGCTCATCTGGCGCGGGCTCCTCGGCCGGGGCGGCCGCGGGCAACTCCTCGGGCGGGCCCTCGGGGTCCGAGGCGGTCGTGGCCTGCTCCTCCTCCGCCTCCTCTTTGGGCGCCTCCTCCGCGGGTGCCGGGGCGGCCTCCTCGACCTTGGCGGGGGCGGCGTCGTGGCAGCAGGCGAACATGGCCGCCCCGCGGGTGGTTCGGGCGGGCCTCGGAGAGGCACGCCGAGCCGCAGGTGGCCCTGCAGATATCAGCCAAAATGACTTGAGTCAAATGTGCTTATGCATTTTCTTGTTCTTGGATGCAAGCTTGAACAGGCACCCCGACCAGCGGTGCCTTTAAGTAGCCGCGCCCAGGGAGGGAACCGAACGTGGCAGGGCTGTTTAGTAAACGCCCAAGGCCTTGCAATAAACGCCGATTCTGGGGGTCGTGGTGGTTTTGCCTTTCCCGATTCAAGCAATGACGAGGTGGGTTCTGGTTCCTAACACTGCGTGGAACGTTCAAAAAAGAGACAACTACATGCACATAACATTCGGAACTCCGCGCGGATTTCTGGTATCCGCGCTGAGCCCCCCTCCCTGGCGCGCTCTGCGCCAGGGGCGGCGCCTGAGCCGCCGCTGGGGGGGGGGGGGGGGGGGCAGCACCGATCCAAGAACGCCGCGTGGAGCGCCGAAAATTACTCGTTATGCCTTTCTCCGCTCTTCGATTCAAGCCTGAACAGGTACCCCGCCAAGCGAAGCCTTTGAGTGAGCGCACCCAAGGAGCGAATGGAACAGGGCAGCGTTGTTCAGTGATTGCTCAGGGCCTTTGAGTACACGCCGACCCCTGGGGTCGGGGTGGTTGTTCCTTTCCCGATTCAAACCGTGACGAAGTGGGCTCTGGTTTCTATCGGCCGCGTGCGAGGGGAGGAAGTGAGAAGGGCCGGGCCTTTTTGGAAGGCTCGGAAGTCCCCAGGCCTTCTGAGAAATTGCCCTAGCCTTCCCCGGAAACAGAACAACAACTCTTAAAAGACGCGAGGGTTTTTGAGAAGTCCCCCCGCCTTCCGAGAAGGCGTTCTCCTTCTCGCTTGTCCCCCCCTCATTCGCCGCCGATCCTAACACTGCGTGGAGCGTTCAAGCCTGAATGCTCGCCTTCGTCGAGAGGGCGTCGCCGCCGCGCCGGTGGTGGCGCGGCCCTGCCCCATCCCTCCTTCCCCCGCTATTTCGTGTTCGACGATGGACCCTCTGCTGCCCACTAGCCCTGGGCTTAGGTCGGGCATGTCCTCTTACAGGCGGATCTTAAAAGGCAGGTCGAACATAGCCATAACAATGCCCAAGGATAGCCACACAGACGATTTTCTGTGCTATTCTGGAGAATTCCTCCTGTTGATGGACATACCCGACTTAACCCTGGACGGTCTTCGGCGGTCTTCTGGTGGCCCTCGGCGGTCTTCCGCAGCCTTCGGCAGTCTTCGGCGGTCTTCTGGCGGTCTTCGGCGGTCTTGGGCGGTTTCAGGCAGTCCTCGGTGGTTTCCATGGGTTTTCGGCGCGAAAGCTGGATTGTTGCGGTTAACGAGGGGTCCATGATCGAACACCTAACCGATGCTATTCTCGCTTCTGCGGGTGGTTTTCCTTCAGCAAGTTCACCAACTGGTTCGCCTCCTCCGTGGAAATGGCGTTGCTGGAGTCGGCGTCCGCGTCCGCGAACAGGCTGGGGAGGCCAAGGAGGGGGGGAAGAGGCGAACAGACCTCGGACGACGTGACTTCCGTGGACGGCAGGTTCGTGCTGCGACGACTGCGGCATTGGTTGCTGACACCGCGTAGAGACCATGCAACTTGCATCGAAGCGTTTCACCTTGAACGCCCGCGCTGGGTCGGCGCCGCGTCCGTCCGACGCGAGCCTACCGCGTAACGGGCGTCTCTTCCGACTTTGGCACCCGAGGGCCCTGCTCGGGCCCCGGGGGCCATCGGAGAACTGTCCGTGATTAGGACTCTGTCCCCCCACCGGCTGGGCGCGAATTCGTGGTGGTGGGATCAGAATGGGGAGGGGGGGGGGGGGGAGGTGCCCTCTTCGGGCCCTTTTCGGCAGCCCTCGCCGCCCCCTCGTGTATCTGAAGGGGCCCTGGGACACACAAATAAATACAAACAAATTACGCTACCGGGGAACCCCACGTACTTAATTTAAATCTTATGTGTTTGCTTATGTGTGTGTGTATATATATATAGATATGCGCAATCCTCGGCTTTCCAGGCCACGCAAGCCTTCCAGGCTTACATCGTCGCCCATTTCAGTCAGTGCGTTCTTCAGCTTCACGCACGGAGGCGGCAGCTGTCCAATGCCAATTTTGGGCGGCATTGCTGCCGCGCGTAGACCGGGCGGTTGTTGCCCGCAAGTTGGAGCACAGACGAACTTGCGTAAATGCGCAGTCGTGCCGCGCCGGCTTGAGCCGCGATGTTTACGGATCAGGGTAAGACGCAAGCTCTCACGCGCAATGCGGTGGATAATCGCTGCACCAAGAGATCACCCCCTGCGCTGGCCCTATAGTCCCGGGAGAGTGCCACGCCTGCTAAGCTTTGCGACAGTGTCGTGGATAGCGGCCGCGCTCAGAGACCCCCTGTGGTGTCGAGAAAATGCCACGGCTGCAAAGCTTTGCGCCAGTGTCGTGGATAGCGGCCGAGCTGAGTGACCACCCCCTGCCCACCCCCTTTGGTGTCGAGAAAGTGCCACCAGTGTCGTGGATGGCGGCCGAGCTGAGAGACCACCCCCTGCGCACCCCCTGTGGTGTCGAGAAAGTGCCACGCCTGCTAGGTTTTGCGACAGTGTCGTGGATAGCGGCCGAGCTGAGAGACCACCCCCTGCGCACCCCCTGTGGTGTCGAGAAAGTGCCACGCCTACTAGGCTTTGCGACAGTGTCGTGGATAGCGACCGAGCTGAGAGACCACCCCCTGCGCACCCCCTGTGGTGTCGAGAAAGTGCCACGCTTGCTAGGCTTTGCGCCAGTGTCGTGGATAGCGGCCGAGCTGAGAGACCACCCCCTCCGCACCCCGTGTGGTGTCGAGAAAGTGCCACGCCTGCTAGGCTTTGCGCCAGTGTCGTGGATAGCGGCCGAGCTGAGAGACCACCCCCTCCGCACCCCCTTTGGTGTCGAGAAAGTGCCACGCTTGCTAGCCTTTGCGCCAGTGTCGTGGATAGCGGCCGAGCTGAGAGACCACCCCCTGCGCACCCCCTGTGGTGTCGAGAAAGTGCCACGCCTGCTAGGCTTTTGCGCCAGTGTCGTGGATAGCGGCCGAGCTGAGAGGCCGCCCCCTGCGCACCCCCTGTGGTGTCGAGAAAGTGCCACGCCTGCTAGGCTTTGCGCCAGTGTCGTGGATAGAGACCGAGCTGAGAGACCACCCCCTGCCCACCCCCTGTGGTGTCGAGAAAGTGCCACGCCTGCTAGG